TCCATGTGAGAGAGATACATCAATCGGTTGCCTCCCAAACACCCCCGAGTGGGGACCAAACCTGCAACCCAGGCATGCACCCTGACCAGTAATCAAACATACAACCTTCCGGTGCATGGATGACACTCCAACCAACTGAACCACGCGGGCCAGGCCACCCTGGTTCTGAATTTACTGCAGTGTAAGCCTACAGCAGGTCTGGCCCGGGCCTCCACAGGAACTGTCCGTAACAATTTGTACTTATTTGTCATGTACTGTTGGTTGAAAATAGCATTCCCACGACTGTCCCAGGCTGATTTTTGACTTGGTGGCAGGTTTCAGCAGCTTGCCCAGGTTCACCTTCAGGCATAAGGAGAAGGGGAAACCACATTGTTCTTCCTCTGGCTTAAAGCGGAAGCTTTATGAGCGCTTCTAACCTCAAGAAAGCAGGTTTTAGAAAACATGGATAACAAATTAAGAAACCAATCAGCCTGGCCGGGGTAGCTCCGGGGTTGAATGTCGACCTATGAAGCAGAAGATCATGGTTGGACTCCCGGTCGGGGCACGTACCCTGGTTGCAGGCTCGATCTCCAGTGTGGGGCCGATCAATGATTCTCTCTCATCATTGATGTTTCTCTCTCTCTCTCTCCTCTCCCTTCCTCTCTGAAGTCAATAAAGATTTTAAAAAAACGAAAAGGAACGAATCAGAACTGCAGACACTGAGGGATTTTAGGTTAGTTACAGAGGACAAGGGAACAAGCCACAGGGTGAATGTTAAAAGACGCTTCAGTGCAGGAACTGCCCAGGCAGCTCTGTGATCACAGAACCAGAGCTGCTTGCCCGTTTCACCCGCCAGCGTCAGGCCGAGGGGACAAGGCTCTGGGACCGGCAGTCCCAGCTCTCTCAGAGCGAGGTTTCCAGCACACTGGCTCTCGCTCTACTGCCCTGGGAGAGGGAGCACAGGGCTCCGGCCTTTTGGAGGAGAGGCCTGCCCTGACCTGCCAGGGCAGAAGCACTGAAGTTCCATTTGTGAAAATGGAGAGGAGAGTGTCCCCAGAGGATTGTAAATGGCAAAGACCTGAGCAGACCTTAACATACAGGCTCCATGTTGGAGATCTCACAGGCATCTCTGGGGGCCAGACCACAAAGACAGTGGGAACCTGCTGGGCCCCAGTCACATCCAAGAATGCCTGGCCCAGCAAGAGTCCTCCTGCCCAGAGGTTGGGGGGAGGAGAGGGAGCGGTGGAGAAAGACACCCTCAAGTGTGCCAAGCCTCAGAGTCAGCTGTTGGCACACCACCCTGGTGGCCTGTCCAAAGACAGTGACTAACATGGCGGCCAGAGCCAGAAAGGGGAGACTAAGAACCCAGAGAAAGGAAAGGAACTCCCACCACCCCACCACGAGAGACGCGGTACTCCAGGCCTCCCTGAAGAGGGTGCTCTTGAACTAGGAATCCCACCCACAAACGCTTGCTCAAATTTATTTAAAGTACTCAGTTTCTCAAATGCTACAGAATGACATGGTAATCCTGGAAAATAAACTAAAGTGACAAATAAATGTGGAGGAACATGTTTACTAACATGACCCAAACTGGAAATATTTATAAACATTTAAGACTAAGTTATAAGTCAGCATGAAAAGCAAAAGAAAGCAAGCCAATGTCATGCTAGCCAGATGGGCAGCGAAGACAGAAAAGGCCCATCCAGAAGGCTGTACAGGCCAGGGCTCCTCTGTAGGCAGTGCGGGGAAGGGCACAGGGCAGAGGGTAATGCCAGCAGGGGCTGAGGGGGCTGCGGGGAGGGAGGGGTGAAAGGGGCACCCAGGGCACTTCGGGCTCTTGGCATTCGTAGAAAAAAAAAATGACAAGTACCATCCATCACTTGACCCGCATTGACCAGGCAAAACACTCCTTTTCTTGTGGGGAGTCACAGTTACAGGGGGACAGACAACAGAATCTTTAAAACGCACAAGAAGCCAAAACCGGTTTGGCTCAGTGAATAGAGCATCGGCCTATAGACTGGAAGGTCCCAGATTTGATTCCGGTCAAGGGCATGTATCTTGGTTGCGGGCAAATCCCCAGTAGAGGATGTGCAGGAGGTGGCTGATCAATGATTCTCTCTTATTGATGTTTCTAACTCTCTATCCCTCTCTCTTCCTCTCTGTAAAAAATCAATAAAATAATTTTTTAAAATAAAATAAAATAAAACAACAAGAAAGCCCACAGTGTGGGAGAACATATTTGCAAATAATACCACTGATAAAGGTTTAATCTCCAACATCTACAGACAGTTTATACAAATAAATAAAAGGAAGATGAATGATCCAATTAAAAAATGGGCAATGGACCTAAATAGAATATTTTCAAAAGAAGACAGAAGGAAGGCCAAAAGGCACATGAAAACATGCTCAAAGTCACTAATTGTCCGACAGGTGCAAATCAAAACAACAATGCGGTACCATCTCACACCTGTCAGAATGGCCAACATCAACAAATCAACAAACGACAAGTGTTGGCGAGGTTGCGGAGTAAAAGGAACCCTCGTGAACTGCTGGTGGGAATGCAGACTGGTACAACCACTGTGGAGAACAGTGTGGAGTTTCCTCAAAAAACTGAAAATGGAACTCCCATTTGACCCAGTAATCCCACTTCTAGGAATATATCCCGAGAAACTAGAAACACCAATCAGAAAGGATATTTGCACCCCTATGTTCATAGCAGCACAATCTACAATAGCCAGAATTTGGAAACAGCCTAGGTGCCCGTCAGCAGATGATTGGATCCAAAAACTATGGTACATCTACACAATGGAATACTATGCTGCCATAAAAAAGAAGGAATTCTCATCATTTGCAGCAACCTGGATGGAATTGAAGAACATCATGCTGAGTGAAATAAGCCAATCAATGAAGGAGAAACACCACATGACCTCACTCATTGGTGGATGATAAAGATCATTATAAACTGATGAACCAAGAATAGATATAGAGAAAGTAAAGCAACAGGCAGACTGTCAAATAACAGTGGGGAGGGGAGGAAGATCTGGAGGAGATAATAGATCAACCGAAGGACTTGTATACATGCATATAAGTACAACCAATGGACACAAAACTCTGGGGAGGGAGGGGATGTGTGGGAAGGAGGGAGGGGGGCAAAAAAATTAATAAAATATGTAAAAATAAATAAATAAAAATTGTAAATAAAATAAAATAAAAATAAATAAATAAATAAATAAATAAATAAAATAAAAGTTTGAGTACATCTAGCATTTCTCACCAAAGTTCAAACAATGGGTCAGAAGCAAGTCTCAGAGCCAAGAGATAGGAACAAGCACCTGTCCAACAGCCAATAGATGGATAAGCAAAACATGACCTTTGTAATAGATATTGTTCATCCTTAAAAAGGAAGGACATCCTGGCACAAGCCACAACATGGATGAACCCTGCAGTCATTATGCTGACTGGATGAGCCAGAAATAAATGGACACATACTGATCCCACTTATATGAGGGGCCAGGAGTGGTCAATCTCATAAGGACAGAAAAGTGAATGGTGGCTGCCAGGGACCTGGGAGAGATGGGGGAGTCAGTACTTAATGGCTGCAGAGTCTCTGGCACACAGCATTTCCTTGTAAAGAGATGTATAGTGACAGGGACAGTAACTGATACCAGGCCAATACAGTGTATTTAATTTTTACAGAAAAATACAAGAAGTTTTACTAAAAGTCAAAATAAAAGAGATTATGTGCATTCTTGGGTGGGCCCAAGTCAAATTCATTCCTGGTGCTTGGCTGGATTTAAATAACAAAACCCACACCCCTGGCACCTGGGCTGAAGGTCAAGCTGACAACACTCCTGCCTCTGGCAAAGTGTGTTTCCAGGATGTGGCTTTGCCAATGCCACATGATCAACTGACGATAATTAAAGAAATGCCCATGTGCCTTCCCAGGCGCTCTCTACAGAGAGGTAGTGAAACGTTTGGGTCAAGAATGTTACACAGGCTGAACATATGCAGAATACAGTTAAATTGGAATTGAGGGGCAGGCTTTGGGCAATCCGGAGACTCCCTGAAATTGTAGGCACCACCTCAGTGTGTGAGCACATGGGTCATTTCCAAGGATTTTAGGTTCTCACAGTCTCTTGGACTAAAAGATGCCTGAGGCTGGGAGACTCATGTCCTCCAGGACAGAACCCTGAGCATCGTGTCTGTAACCACCCAGCTTTGGCAAACGGAGTGTTTTAAGTAACTATTCAACAAGAAATGTCAGTGTGCCTGGGATCTTTTTTACACACGTATCTCATTCTTGTAAGGTCTGAGCACTTCTCAATGTTTTTTTTTAAAAATAAGAGTGACACTGCCATAGAGGACGGTGCTGGAGGCTGGACAGAGGCTGTTGTGTCAGGGGCAGGAGGTATGGTTGGAACTGATTTCCAGGAACAGTGCACACATGGCAGTTACATGGGTTTGGATCCTTCCAGCTGTTGGAATGGCCAATGACATCAGAGGCTTTGACCTCCCTGATTGGAAGGACCAAATTCCGTGGTGCTTAGCAACAGAGGTGGGCAACAGCATCTTCTCCAACAATTTGAACAGATCAGAGTCTAGGTGTCCTGAAAGGGAAGATTTGGGAGAAATCATGGCCAGCTGTGGCCCAAGTTACCAGCTTGAGAACCAGAGACCACAGCCTAGCTGCTCAGGGTGCCCCCTGGAGGTGAGAGTGGTTGAAGGCATCCCAGGACCACCAGGTGAGGAGACTGGGGACAGAGGGATTGGAGAGGGCTGACCATTAAGGAAGGGGAACCTGAGTGGGGTGTGTGTAAAGAGAGATTCAGAAAGCCTGGGGCTGGAGGAGAGCACAGAGGCTGGGGACAAGGAAATCCCCACGAAAAGACAGCCTGGGAAGCTAGGAAGGAGGCAAGGAGATGAAGCCAAGGGTGTGAGAGGGGAAGGGAGGAAACAGTGGAGGAATTCTCTCTAACAAGGACCAGTTTTGAGGGCAGAGATATAGAACAATGGCCAGAGGAATAGAAAGATGGCTGAGGAGAAGGCCAGTAGTCCATGAGACTGCAGAGAATGAAGGGGTTTGTGTTTGGCAGGGAGGGGGGGCAGTAAATAGGGTGGAGTGGGGGAGAGGGTTATGTGACCAGTAACTGAATTCCAGGGGCAAATGCTGTGTACTGTAGCCTGGTTCCTTTACACAGGCCCCTGTGCAGAGAGCAATACCCTGCCTCGATCAGCTGGCTGGAAGAGGAAGAGGGCGTGGCCCACAAAGGAGGGGACAGAGGAGGAGCCTGCCCCTGGGGCTCAGGACCTCTGTGTCCTGGAGACTCTGTGTGGGCTCAAGAAGCTGAAGAGGCAGCGGGTGTCTTCAGGGCGACCAGAGCACCATCAAGCCTTCACCAGGCTGCTGGGTAGGAATGAACCCTGGACAGCACTCTCCAATAAGGACTCTTTCCCAACAGAGAGGAGTTCCCTGCCCGTTAGTGAGCTCCCTCTCCTAGGAGGACTCGTGTCCATCACTCAGGGGGCACCTAGAGAGAATGGAGGACTAGGCTACACCTGAGAGAGTCTGCCCTGGGATCAGGCAGCTCGGTTCCAAATGCACCCTCTGCAACTTCTCAGCTCTGACGGGCCTTCTGAGTCTTAACACCGTCATCTGTGTACACAGGCACAACAAGGCCTTCTTCCCTCCCTGAGGGCACAGTCCGAGGACGATGGCCATGGTACTGGCAGGGGTACATCCATGCATGTGGATGGATTATTTAAGCTCTGAATCTTGCAGATATGTGACTGACACCCCCACCTGTGTGTCTCCCCAGACTGGGTGGGTAAGGCCCAGGGGTCACCAGTGCTTCCTTGCTCCAGGAACAGTCTCCTCTGTTCCTCTCCGTACTGGCCTCGGCCTTGGCCACTCTCATGAAATTCCCCAGGAGGGCCATGGCTCTGCTCTGGGCCCTGGAACGCTCCCATAGCAACCCTGTACCTGTCCCCAAGCTCACATTCGCCCTCTTTCACAGAGGACCCTGTCATTAAGAGATTCCTGGCCTGGGACACACACCTGAGGCTCTCTGACAAGGTAAGAAGTGTTCCTGCTCTGCCGTCTATCAGAAGGAAGGGAGAGCCTTCTGAGCCCACGTTGTCTCTCCAAACTGAGGCCTTGTCACCCTCCCCTTCGGGGACGACGGGTCTCCTGCAGTGTGGGTGGGCAGCCCCGCCTCAGCCTGGCTCCTCCGGATCCTTTACATTTGTTGTCTTTCCGTCAGTATCTCCTGTCCATGGTGGTCGCTTATTTCAGCCGCCTGGGCCTCTTCTCCTGGCAGTACCAGCGAATTCATTTCTTCCTGGCCCTGTGAGTACCTTGCTTATTCCCATCAGTAAATATTCTTATCTTGGGGAGATGGAGGGAGAGGAGTGGGTCTCTGACCTTTCACCTGTTGTTGTTGTTTTTTTCAGCTATTTGTAGTTTCCTTTGTGTGTACACTGACAGATTGTAGTATCATGTTTTTTAATGCTATTCGTTGTTAAAGCCAACAGTGAAAAGACTGAGCAAAGTCAAAGAAAACACAAAAGTGTTAGAGAGGATGGACACCACTCTGCTCCCAAGTAAACACACTTGGGACCTGTCATTATTAATTAAGTCCCTCTCTCTTCTCTCTCACTTCTATAGCAATCCAAAAGTCATGGCCTTCCTCCTCAAGTCCAGCCCTCACTCAGTAGCACAGATCCAGCTGGGGTGGCTCAGTTGTGATGGGTGCTATCCCCTACACTGAAAGGTCCTGGCTTCCATTCCCAGTTGGGGCACATACACAGGTTGCAGGTCCATCCCAGGCCCTGGTTGGGCAAGTGAGGAAAGCATCAATCAATGTGTCTCTCACAGAGGTGTCTCACTCTCTCCTTCCTTCCATCTTTCTTCCACTCCTCTTAAACATCAATGGAAAAAAATATCCTCAGGTGAGAATCAACAATCAATTGAGCAACCAAGCAATCAATAAAACAAGTCTCTGGTAAAATCCTACCCAGGGATGTTTCTTACAAGTCTCCCTGAATATCCTTCCAAAACGCAGGTCTAACCACTTCACCGTCCACTCCACAATTTCATTTGCTAATTAATTTCTGATTCAAGGCCTGGATTCTCAGCTTGAATTCAGCTCTTTATGATCTCCATCCAACTTGCTTTCCATCCTATATCCCATTCTTTGTTTCCTGCTCTCCCAAACACCCTTTCCTGTATTCTGACGTTATATTTCCCGTCTAAGTATTTTTTTACATGTATGTATCTGGAAAGAAGACATATCCCTAAAATCGATTCAAACATCAGAATCTTGGGTTACCGTCTCTGACCCCACAATTTATACACGCCAATAGCACATTAATTAAAATCCTGCTACAATGTGATATTTTGGATTACACTTATTTCTTATCTCTCCCCTTCGCCTTCCCTAATCCCATTAAGTTAGGCACTTATTGAGGAGGGCGCTTGTCAAAACATCAATGGGATCTTAAAACATTGGACAATTTTATGTTGCAAATGTTCAAATTATATTGAGTCTGTAAGGTTATCAGTTTTCCAGTTGACTGAGAAAAATCGTTTGTTCATTCATTCATTCATTTATTCATTCTGTGCAACCTTGTACAGTCCATCTCATGTGCCAGGGGATGTGAGGACGGGAAGAGAATTTAAAAGTGCTGTTGACTTAATGGGCCTGTTAGTCACTTGGTAGGAAAGTGATGAAGATGGAAATGGGCTGATCAGCACCTGCCCATGGAGTTGTGTGGACACTGACCCTTTAGGAGGCAGGTTTGCGCACAACCTACAGGTGAAGGGAAGGACCCATTTCCCCATCGAATTTGACCTTCATCGTCAAGGCCTGAGAGGTCCCTCAGTCCCGCTCAGCTGCCTAGTGCCTGGTGGCCCTTGGAGATACGGATAGGGCCCCCAGGGCTTGTGTGAGGAGGAACCAGCCTGTGTGCTTTCCAAGAAGCTGACCAGAGACAGGGTCCTTCTTGCCCTGCTCCTGATGGGCAACCTAATGTCCTTCCTCAGCTACCTGGCCCTGGACATGGAAGACAATTACCACGCCCCAAAAGGGGCCATCTTGTTCTTCCTCTATGGGGAGAACAGCTGCCCCCAGCGCCGCCTGTTCCACAAACTGCGATTCCAGTTCTTCTGCTCCATGGGCTGGAGGGCGAGGGTCACACGAGAAGAGTGCGAAAAGGTAGGTGGGCTGTGGGATTGGGAGGGGGGCCAGATGGGGGAGACCGGGGACCGTGGGGGATCCTTTTGGGCACTTGGGGATGACAAAGAATTGGAGGCTGGGCCAGGGACGGGATGGGGTCCACCTGGAGAGTCATCATCTTCTCAGGGGGCTGTTTGTCCTTCCAGATCCATGCTTTTGATCCAGAGCTCTGGGTGTGGGGGCGAGATCGCGCCCTCCTTTCCCAGGCCACCGAGCCTAAGGTAGGTCTGAAGGAAGGCAGGTCTGTGTCCTCACAGGTACAGAGGGAAGAGTTTGTTGTCTCTTTAAGAAATCCCAGGAATCCAATGGCTGGACCCACCCTCATCGGCCCCCTCCCCATCACCAGGCACTCACTCAGCTCCCAGCCAGAGCTCACACACAGCACCTCAGTGGGATTTGTGGGAGCCAGACCTCAAGATTTGGTGGAATCATTTTAAACAGAGCAATTGGGTCCAAATAAGAGCTTTATTGAAATGTTGAGTTTTGTGAAAAGTGAGTAAGTTTCTAGGTTTTTTTGCTTCCATATATTGTGCCTTTCTGTTATTCATTCACTTGAGCCTTTTCATCCCTCGGGAATGCCAACTATAGGGACTTTCTGCAATAAAGTCAATGTCTAACAATAGGATATCAGATGGAACAGTCTCTATATCCAAAGATCAATACATAGATCCTGACTAGCTATGTGTTCATCCAAGTTTACATGCAATCAAATCGCCTATGGCCAGATCACCGTGTGTTCGTCATTTCCCCCGACTCACCAATCTCTCCCCTGGCACCATTACCCGTCTCCCCTCAAGTATATGTCAAGGAAGTTTGTCAGAATGATCTAAGGTTGAGAAATCCTGGCTCTGCCATGGCTTCCTCTGATCAACATGTGGGAGTTACAGATTTGGGCAGAGGATTCAGTTTTGGTTAAAATCTTGTGACCTAGCTGTCTTACTCCATCTGGCCGCTATAGCAAAATACCACAGCTGAACAACAACAGACATTTAGACATTTATTCTCACAGCTCTGGAGGCTGGAAGGCTGAGGTCAGTGCTGGCACGGTGGGTTCTGGTGAGGACCGTCTTCTGTGCCTCAGATGCCAACATGTCGCCATGTCCTTACACAGGGGGAGGGGCGAGGCATCTCTCTGGGTGTCTCCTAAGGGCAGACAATAAGCTCATTCTTAGGGGCCCCATCCAGTGACCTAACCACCTCCCAAAGGCCCCCACCTCCTATCACCATCACCCCAGGGCTTATGCATTTGGGGGTCACAAACACTCACACCATAGCGCTACCCTCGTTCAGACTCGGTATGAGGGTTAAACATCAGGATCCAGAGGTAGGAGCAGGGATGGGGCACCTGGGCTCATGGTCGGTGATGCTGACATGGCAGTGATGCTGGCAGTGTGGCTGGGGGTTCAGATGTGAAGAAGCACGAGAGGACCGAGGTGTGAGTGAGAGAGAGCAGCTCTCTCCCTAAGTGTGCTGCCCCCGGACAGAGTCACCTGGAGTCCTAGCTATACAGCAGCTCGCTGGGTATATTAAGGGATGTTTGAAAACTCAGGGTTTTCAAAGTCCGTGCATCACACTTGAACACAGTAGGGTTGAAGGAGGAACTGGAGATTAAATGGGGCCTATAGGTGAGTCTAAACTCGGTTTGAATTCCCTGGGGATTTAATCTTTACCTGTGGAGAGCCACCTGGTTGGAATGTGACATCCTGTCTCTTCCTCTCACCTCCAGATCGCTGAGCCCCGGGCACACTCCACTTTTCTGCAGGAAGTCAATCCAGATGCTCAAGACAGACGGGAGGAAGGGAATCACCATCCAGAAGAGCCCAGAACGATCTCTGGCAAGCTCTATAGCTCTGTCTGTCTGTCCCTAGGAGCACTTCTAGGGGTCTGCAGGAGGGCAATCAGGATCTAGGGTTCTTTCAGATTCCATCCTTTATGAGGCCCCATCCCAAATTTCACATTGCTTACCTCAAATCTCCCCTGAGGCAGAAGCTGCAGGTCCCACATTTTCTACACCTGGCACAACCGTTCAAAGCCATCTGAAGGAGAGAAATACTTGAAAAGTATAAAATTAGCGTCCTAAGTTTGTGGTAGATGAATGAATGTGTGCCATGCATTTCTATTTTGAAAATGTTGCCCATAGGATTGTTACATTTATTCTCATCCTATGTAATGAACAGCAGAATGTCCTGCCGCTGTGAGGTGCACTGACCACCAGGGGGCAGATGCTCAAGGCAGGAGCTGCCCCCTTGTTAGTCAGTGAGCTCCCACAGGAGGGCACTGCTCAGCCAGAAGCTGGGCAAGTGCAGCAGCAGTGGCAGGAGCCTGTCCTGCTTCTGAGGCAGTGCTAGGGAGCAGTGAGCCCAGCAAGGGCTCTGGGACTGAGAGGGATGTCTGACTGCTCTCCTGTGGGGAGCAGGCCTAAACCAGCTGGCAGACATCCCCAAGGGGTTCTGGATTGCAAAAGGGCACAGGCCGAGCTAAGGGACTATGCCTTTCCCCCAGTGCACTGGGCCTCTAATATTTAATAAATTTTGTATTTATGTTAGGTAGTTTTGAATAGTTTTCTAATGTTATAGCTGGAATACATATGTAAACACTGTATAATTTTGTTCCTCTATTCAGAGAGTTTTTTGTGATTTTATCTATCATATTTATTTAGTATTAATTATAGCTGGGTGGGCAGTTCTTCTGTATTCTTGTAATGTAATTTTTTTTTGGTCTATATTATTGAATTGTGAGAATTCAGGTATAATTTTTTAACTTGCCTGGGTGACATGTGTGTATGTTATTTTAGATCATTAAAGAGCACAAGGCTATGCATCTCTTGAAAAAATATAATAAAAATAAATTCTCACTCTGTGATGTTTGTTATAGTGTCAGTTTGATTCCCTCGTTCACTGTCAAATGATAATGTAGCTAAATGGGGTTGTGATTATTCAAACAACTTTCTTAACTCTGAAAAATAATCCTCAATTTTTTCCACATACTTGAAAAAAAACAATAGAACTTGAGGCAGATCCTAAGCTAGAGTCTGAGAGGGGAAAGAAGGTAGAAGAATGAGTAGGGAATAGAGAAGGAAGAAAGCATCCCGGGAACCCAGACAATAACCAGAAATTCAAAGTCAGGGACAGGTGGCTTCACCAGACAAGCTTTCCTGGAAGTGGGCTGTGACAAGGGACCCCTGGGCACAGGGAACACAGTGTTCACTCTTTACCCCCATGGGAGTCCTGTTCACAGTCTCCGAAAACAGTATCAGGTGTAGAAGGAACACATAGAGCCTGTGGTGAAGCAGGAACCCTGGGAAAGAAATGAGGGCCGCCCCAGATGGTTTGACTCAGTGGGTAAAGCATCGGCCTGAGGACTGAGGGGTCCCAGGTTCGATTCTGGTTGGGAGGATGTGCCTGGTTGCGGGCTCGATCACGTAGGGGGCGCCCCATACAGGAGGTAGCCAATCAATGATTCTCTCATTATTGATATTTCTATCTCTCCCTCTCCCTTCCTCTCTGAATCAATAAAAAGAAAAAGATAAAAGGGTTCTGGGGGAATTTCTGGGACAAGTTCAGGCTGTTTAAGGAGATGGCCTGGTGAAGGAGGAACTACTGCCGTGAACAGTGGATTGTGGAGGAAAGCTTCCTGGGAGTTGGGATGGTCGGAGGATGCTGGGCGGTCCCACACACCAAGCTTCCATGTCCTCAGCCTGTGGCCTCCCTCCCAGTCCTCAGATGTGCTTCACCCATCAGAGAGGCTCACCTGAGCTTTCGGGACCTGGGTTCTCCTTGGGCTTTCAATATGTAGGCACCATCTTATCAATCACTGGCCCAGAGTTTGAATCGGTCTCCAGTGCCCTCTCCTCCCCAGAGATTGGGCCTAACCACTGACCTGCAAGCACAGGGTTGGCCGTTCTGGCCTGCCTGGCCCACGCCCGGAGTACCTCCTCAGCATGTGCCCAGTGTGCTCCCCGGGGGTCAGCGTGATGCGCACGTACTCACCCATATCACTGAGGACACTCCGAGGCCTGAAGGGCTTCCTCCAAGGAACCAGGGACAAGGACCAGCCAAAGTGCTCATGATAGGTCCCCCTGAGCACGGCCGGTGGTTGGGGTGGGGAAGGGGTGTGGCTGCAGGAACAGTTCAGGCCAGCGCTGTGGCAGGGGAGACTGGGGATGCTGATGACGTGAGGAGTGAAACAAGGGGGTGCTCACAGGCCTCGGGAGGAGCTCAGAGATGCATCCATTCGGGACACGGGGCAGCTAATGACGTGTGAGCAACTGAGTGAGGAGAAGCCAAGGAGGAAGCATGTCTGTGTGTTGGGGGTGGGTTTCTCTTTCCCAACAATGGGGGCAGGAGGTATCCCAGGCGAACAGTCCGGGATGTCCTGGCAGAACTCTCTCCATGGTGAGGCTTATGTTATCTAAAAATATTAGTATTTTAGAAAAATGTTTCACATATAAGTGAGCATGCTATGCCTCGCTCTTTCCCTCATTTCTCAGTTTCCTGTGGCCAGTGATTCTAAGCTGTAAGCTCCCAGGGTAAGGACAGGGCAGGGTGAGGGCACACCTCGTGCAGCGGTGGCAGTACAGACAGTCCTTTAAGTTAAAGGGAAACTGGAGTCCCGTGTTCAGGTTGCGAGTCTTCTCCGCACAGTGACTGGGCAAAAGGAATATGGGAGTTCTGTGTACAATGCTTGTAACTGTTCTGTAAATTGAAAGATTTTTTTCAAAATAAAATGTCGAGTGTAAAAGAATGCTAGCCAGAGTCAGTTTGGCTCAGTGGATAGAGCTTCGGTCTGTGGACTAAAGGCTCCCAGGTTTGATTCCGATCAAGGGCATTGGTTGGGGGCACATCCCGGGGGGGGGGGGGGGGGGGGTGTGCAAGAGGCAGCTGGTCGATGTTTCTCTCTCATCAACATTTCTGGCTCTCTATCCCTCTTCCTTCCTCTCTGGAAAATCAATAAAATATTTTTTTTTTAAAAGAAAGAAAGAAAGAAAGAAAGAAAGAAAGAAAGAAAGAAAGAAAGAAAGAAAGAAAGAAAGAAAAAGTATGCTATCAGCACTGGCTGGTTTGGTTCAGTGGGTAGAGTGTGGGCTGACAGACTGAAGGGTCCTGGGTTCAATTCTCATCAAGGACACATACCGAGGTTGCAGGATCAATCCCCAGTAGGGGCAAGCAGCAGGTAGCTGATCAATTATTCTTTCATCATTGATGTTTCTATCTCTCTCACCCTCTCCTTCCCTCTCTGAAATCAATAACAATCTTTGGAAAAAAAAAAAAAAAGAATGCTATCAAATACATAGGAAATAATTCAAAGGGACTCAGAAGAAGCAATTCACTGACAAACCCACATACACATCAAAAGGAATAACAACTTTAATCTACCAATGGATTTAAATGTCATTTAAACCCATGAGCTCGTAACAGTAATAAAATGAAACAAACTAAAAATCTTGCTCAATATTTTGGAAATTGTCTATTTTTATTTATTTATTTATTTATTTATTTATTTATTTATTGCATATTAGCCTTTTATTATATAGGATGGAAATTGTCTTTCTTGTATGAAACACAGAACCAAGTAGATTGGAGATGTTTTCTTTAGAAATGTAGTCCAGCAAGTAAATGAAGAAGAAAGGGTAGCCCTTGCTGGTTTAGTTAAATGGATAGAGCGTCGGCTTGTGTACTGAAGGGTCCTGGGTTCGATTCCAGTTAATGGCACCTGCCCGGGTTGTGGCCTTGATCCCCAGTAGGGGGCATGCAGAGGCAGCTGATCAATGATTCTCTCTCATCATTGATGTTTTTCTCTCTCTCCTTCTCCCTTCCTCTCTGAAGTCAAT